TCGGTGAGCTCCGTACGTCGTGTGGATGCGGTAGCGATGCCAATTATAGATGGCCAAGGACTGTTTGCAGGCCTATCACTATGCGATGCGAATGCGATTGACCTTACGGATGGTGCTGCCCTATCGCCTACGGCTACGCAATCACCTGCATGGTCACTAACGTCTCCTGCGGAAAGTGAAGAAGGAGGAGAGCGTCGTGTTGTTGAAGGGGTGCGGGCAAGTACGCAACGCACTCAATCGTCGGTTGCGCAAGCAACGCAGTGACTGCAGCTGCAAGTTGGAGTTCCTGTTCAACACATACAAGTTGGAGGACAAGGACTACAACAACGACAATCAACCTCACTGCCTACACTGCAAGCACCAGCTGTAGCTGTGCAACCTACTGGACAACCTGCTGTCCAACAGGGTGTACAAGCTACTGTACTGCAAAACATGCAACCTACTGTATCGAGAACTGCGCAGACTCAGTGGGAGGGCAATCAGTCTACAGCTGGACTGGTGCCTACGTGGGAGTCAGTCATCTACTACTTGGGGCAAGGACTGTCGAGTAGCTCGAAAGGGCCTACACTTGAGCCATGGCGCAATCAAGCTGAACCACAAGGGGGTTCGGCTGTGCCGGGGGATAGCTGTCGAGGGTATTGATGTCGGGTTTACAGACGCCAGAACCCAGGGATGCGCAATGATTACAGACCTAACTTGGAGAGTGCGTACGAGAGAGGACTCTGGAGTCAGGATGCTGGACACTTTGACCCTCCTATTCAAGGACGAGGACGAAGTCGTTCACCACCCCGATTCTTCAATCGAGAACGAACTCCACCAAGAGGAAGAGGCCGTTCTCCGTCAATGCGAGGATGTGATCCAAGAGGGAATCCAGGGCGCTATCGATCTCCACCGAGTCAGCAGCAGTGGCGTAACGAGAGACCGAGTCGCTATGAGCCGCCACCCCAACGCGATGATCGACTGAGTCGCTATGGACCGTCGTCTCCGCAGCAGCAGTGGCGTGACAATCCTTCGAGAGGACGAGGACCTTCACCTCGACGTGACAATTTCCAAGGGCGGAACATGTCTCCACGTCGATTTGAAGACCGTCGTGAGAACAGACCACCCAACTCTCGTCAAGTCAACGCTGTGAACCAGAACCAAGGTATGCAATCAGCTCAGTCTGAATTTGTGGAGTGGATACTTGATTCAGGATCCCAGGCAAATGTCTGTGGTGACCTGTCATTGTTTACTACCATAAGGGAAGACCAAGCTAGTCGACTTGACTTTGCGAATGGCACAACTGAACACACTTCTGTTTGTGGGTCTGTGCTATTGCGTGTTGTTAACCAGGCAACTGGCCAGCTCGAGGACCGTCTCCTGGACGACGTGGTGTACACACCGAACGCGAAGGTGAACATCATTAGTTTGGGCTACCTACAAACGAAGGGCAACTTCAAGTTGACATGCTCAGAGGACCAACAAACTGCTTGGATCTCCAAGCCAAGCACATCACTCAAGTTCATGATGCGTGACAGTATCTACCGACTACTTGCAGAAAGAGTGACTGGAGTGATGGTGATGGCGGCTCTAAAGGAAAACATGGACAGCAAGAAAGCCATGGAGCTGCTTCATCAACGATTTGGTCATATGAGCATGGAGACGGTGAAAGTGTTGGCAAACAAACTCGATGTTGGAGTTAAGATGAATGCAAAAGGTCTGACTTCCTACGAGTGCGTTGCTTGTGCTGCCAGTAAGGCGAAAAAAATGTCTTATAAACGGAATCCATTGCGGGAAACTCCCAAAAAAAAATGAAAAACTCCTGGAAAAATCCTCCCGGAGAGGAAATTTTGTTCTCCGTAAAAAAAAAAATATCGTGTGGAAGAGAGATTACAAAGTTTTTTCTCTCTTTTTTCTCTCGAAAATTTTCAAAGGGGTAAAAAGGGGGCGCTCTCCCTCCTCCCACAAAAAAAGAGAGAGAACAGCTTTCCCCCATACCAGATTCTCGCTTCGAAAAGACGTTAAAAATCCTTCTTTCTCAAAAAAAGAGGCCAACACTCACCCTCGGAACCAGGAGGTGAAATTGCCAGCAGGAACTCAGTGACTCACTGCTTCGACAAGGTATGAGCAGCAGTTTACGAACGCCTATTCTCCTCAAGAAAACGGCATTGTGGAGCGTGCTAATGGCGTGGTTCTACCAAGAATCAGAGCGATGCTGATGGCTACACACATGCCCAACTCCTTGTGGGGAGAAGCCTTCCTGCATGTGGTGACGACGTTGAACTGGTTGCCCACCAAGCCTTTAGGATTGGTGTCCCCGCACCAGAAACTGTATGAATCGGAGCCCATGCTGGATGATTTGCGTACTTGGGGCTGTCTGGCACACGTGCGTATTCCCCCTGAGTCAAGACAAGCGAAAGAAAAGCTGGAAGCAAGGGCAAGACTGTGTTTATTACTGGGCTATAGCGAATCGACCCTAGGCTACAAGTTCATTGACCTGGTGACAGCTCAAGTGGTGACAGCTCGTAGTGGGAATGTGAAGTTTCATGAAGAGTTCACAACCGATGGCATCTACATGAAGCATCTATTAGAGAACGCATTCTTTGATGGTGATCATACTCTACGCGAGACTGTACCTGTGGCGCGCATCAAGACCAACATGGAGACGTACCTTCCAGGTTGGAGTGACGGCATCTCTAGTGCGGAGAAGCCACTTGAGGCAGTACCACTTGCTGACGAACCTGCAGAAACTGAGTGTAAGTTCAAGTGGGAGTTTGTCAATCGTTGACGCACCTGTGGAGCAAGGACAGTGCGAAGACTGGTGGGGGTAGCAGCACCAGCCGTGGTGGAGGATTCTG